TGTATTTTGTTTTTCTTACAGGTGTGATAGTTGGCGATACGTTGTGCATTTCTATTTGTACGCTATCCTTTTATTATATTTTTCACTATCACCCCCCCTTCCCTTTTTATCTCTCGCTGCCTTAGACATTGTCGTAGCATGTCACATATAATATAATAACTGAAATAACATGAATAGAAATTAATAAGTAAACAGATAAAACAAATGCATGAATAAGAGGAGCCTATAGAGAATTTACAGAGCTGATCTTGGAAAAGCAATGTGTGTTTGGGACAACAGTGCATTCAGATCATTATTAGAATAATGATCTGAATGTCCTAGACAAGACTTGACAAGTTTAAAAAGAAAACAAAGATTATTGCAATTAGTCAGTTAAACCTCTGGGATATTGATCTAGTCAGTTTAGTAGCAGAGGGGGTTGATAATCAGTTTTAGCTCCTTTGGTGTTGATGAAATTAAGAACAGGTGCACCAGAGGTGAAAGCAAATACTGGTAAGAGATAATTAATAATGGAAGATTAGCAGTAACCTGAACAAAAAAAAATGGTTGCAATTAATTTATTTGTTTTATATAAACACAAAGCTATTTCATTACTTAAAAAAACACATGCAACTGCATTTTATTTCCTCCTGAAGGGGAAACCCAAGCAATCCCCACCCTCTACAGATACATATTTAAACAGCAAGATAATGTAAGCGAAAGTCACATGCCACAAGACACACTGTGATTGTCAAGCTCTGATCTTCATTTATTGACTTCAAACAACACATTTGGTAAGTTATTTTAACCCCAAACCTTTTCAGACATCACAGCATTCTGAAAATGAATATTTTAGCTAAAGTATACTTTAAAAATAGAAAAAACAAACAAACAGAATGTGTTACAATTAATTAAATTTTTGAAAGTTATTTTATCTAAATGCAAAGTTATTTTGTTAAAAAAAAACAAAACACTTGCAGCTGCATTTTATTTCCTCCTGAAGGGGAAACCAGGGCAATCCTCACCTTCTACAGACAGATATTGAAACAGCAAGAGAAAGTTTGCGAAAGTCACAAACAACAAGACACACTGTGATTGTCACGCTCTGCTCTGCATTCGTTCATTTCAAACAACACGTCTGGTATGTTATTTTAACCTAAACCTTTGCAGACATCACAACATTCTGAAAACGAATAGTTTAGATAGACTATGCTTTAAAAAAAACAAACTTGACTGTGTTGCAATTTATTTTTTTAAGTTGTTTTATAAAAATGCAAAGCAATTTTGTTACTAAAAATACACACTCAGCTGCATTCTATTTCCTCCTGAAGGGGAAACCAGCAATCTGCCCTCTATATACACATATTGTGACAAATGTGACTAAGCTGAAGTCACAAGATACACCGTGATTGTAACGCTGTGCTCTTCACTTCAAACACCATGTCTGGTAAGTACTTTTAACACTAACATTTGTGGGCATCACAACATCTGCATTTTGAAAACTAATATTTTAGATAAAGTATGCTTTCAAAATACACTTGGATGATGCTTTAAGCCTACTGTGTGTAAGTCGGTAATGGCAAATGTGAAACCTTACACCAAGCCAAGCACGCAGCCTTGTTGGAGAAAATTCAATTGCTTCTGGTATTTGTGAGGCAAGAGTCATTGAGATAATCTATTAACTGGATTACACTACATAAGTTATTTGAGTAATATGTGGCCTCTACAGAATACAAAATGGCAATGACAAATTTAACATTTACATTTCAATGTTAAATCAAATTTAACAAAACACTGTTTTGACCTCAGAGTGTTTGATCATGCTTTGTTCAGCAAACTCCCCAAGAAACATAAAGACAGACTTTGACTTTATTGGTTAGTATGTGGATGAGCTCTATGGCTCAATAGAAACCAGCTTCAAGTTGGTCTTGAAGCCTTTTTCTTGGTATTTGTATATTAATTACATGTTGCTATTTGTGTCTTTTAGAACCGATGAATCCAGGTGGTGTCTCTATGCATGTATGGATCAACTTAACAGGCCCTGCCGTTGAGCCTTTGAAAAAAGCATTCTTTGGGCCAAGCATTACAGTTTTGCAGGAAAACATGAAAAAAAAGACAAGAGCAAAAGCTGAGACAACAGAAGCAGAAGACAAAACACAGAAAGAGGTTGGAAGAATCAAACCTGAGAAAGGTATTCTAAATAAATAAACAAATACAGCATTTTGGTGACAGTGTATTAATTTGTCTATTGTCCAGTGTATTAAAAAAACATTGCCTATTTCTTTTTAGTGTAGTAAAGCAATTTAGCTGAACTGAAATTAGTAGTCTTTTTTGTGTGGCAATATAAAAAAAACAGCCCTAACCAAATACGCTAATCTATTTGTTATTCTTCCTTATTTAGCTCTTCTGGAGTCACCAAAAATGATCTGCATGGCAGGAGCAGCTGGAGGTCAAAAGTACATCAGAGGTAACAGCATACTGACATGTTGACATGAGTTTTAGTCAGTAGGATTTTCAGATGACAGGAATCTCTATCCTGATAAAATAAATTGTTGTTCTAAGCCTACTATTAAAAAAAGAAACTGACACTGTCAAATCTAGTAAGTTACTTGAAAAAGGTAAACTTGATCCAAATGGAAAGTAAATAGAAACAAATGCTTTTAATTTACTTGATTTTGTTGTATACAATGGTCCCTCACAATTGGAATGTGGCAAACTTGCAATATAACAGTAATACAACAGCACCAAAAATATACAGCTGGGTCTCCAATACAAAAACACAATCAGCTGTGTCTTAGAGGCAAATCAAAGCTGACTAAACACATAAGTTGCTGGACCAAAATGTTTTTTTGGCTGAATGAGTTCAGCGTCTCAGAGTCCAGTGAAGTCACTATGTCACTGCTGAGACACGACTGAAGATGAATATAGATTTATCCAGTGAGTGCAGACATAAGGCAATGGCTTAAGCGGAAGTTACCTTAGCACACTGATGCAGTCCAAGTAGGTGTGCCTTTGTTCTGTACTCCATCCCCTGAAGACAAACGCCTTAGTTACCAAACTGTGCCTGAAATTAGTGTTAAGGCAGCACTGTATTTATACCTCACTGCAGCAGATTGAGGAAGTTCAGTTCAGTTTTATTTATATAGCACCATGTCACAACAACAGTCACCTCAAGGTGCTTTGGTAAGCCATCTGCCACAACAAGTTGGTCGGAGTTAATATTATGTGATTAAATGGAGAGTGGTGTATAAACACATAGCTGTTTTAAACTATGAATGGTCTATCACAAACAATGTAGTGTATATATAAAGACATTTTACATAAATTATGCCTTTACAAATTTAGGGCCATGAAGATATATTGGTAGCACTAATAATGTGGTTAATTGGTCATTTATAAAGTGTTAGTCATTCTAAGTATGAAACTTATTGATAGGTTTGTAGCTTAAACCTATTCGCTGGAACGTTAAAGACAATATAATTACACAGCAAAGCAAGACACGAGTAGGCAAAGTTCTTCATGTTACTCATGCATGAGGGAGACCTGCCTGGAGCCAAGTGTCGTTCCACCACTTGACCTCCGTCAGACTCTCAGCCAGGTTCCCCATAGCACTCCTTTTATTGTGGTTACATGAATATGCATAGGTTCATTAACATATAACATCTTACATAGGTATACATGTGAACAAAGGATTGTGTGTGTGTGTGTGTGTGTGTGTGGGGTCAGAGTATGACCCCATAAATGACTTCCCTAAACTTACTGGTCTGGAAAGTCCAGCAGT